GTCCCCGTTGCAAAGAGAGTAAGAGCAGCTAAGAGGACAGTGGAGGATAGATGAAGCAGAGCTCTACCATACTGCCCCCTCCCACAATCCTGACAAGCCCTCTCCAACACTCAATATGACTCTTATATTGGTGGGGTGGCAGCTGACACAGCAGCCATATGCTCGCAAGTTCTCTTGCTCCATGGGATGTCCTGCTGGCCAATTGTACAGAGATTTCAATTGAGAACCTGGCCCTCTATGTGAATGAAACACATAATGCTCTTTCCACCTGAGCTCATAGCCTTCTGCAGGACAAAACAGGTACAAGTCTATCAACTGAACAGCAGATGCTGGAGGGCTGAGGATTAAATATTTAGGACCTAATTTGAAAGGTGCCTGCTTCTGCCATTCTGATATGCTTCCCCTTAGAACTGCAATAGTCCTACCTGTTCTTATCAAATAAACACCCTCCCTCTCCTCCTTCATGTGCCTCCTTTATACCCCACCCCCCCTTCAAGCTGTCCCTTTTCCACATCATCCAAACACCTGTTTCCTTTTGTCTTCTGTGTGGTTATCTGATTTAGATTGTGAGCTTGTAGCTAGGAAGGAGGGTCTTTTGGTTAGACACAGGGTAGGGACTCAGGAGGATCTTGATTCAATTCCAGCCCTGCCATGGACTCCCAGTCTGAATTTGAGCAAGTCACATAATTTCTCCCTGCCTCAATTTAGTATCTGTAAAATGGAAGTATTAATAGTCCCTTTCTCTCGGACTTTGTGCCTCTTGTCTGTTTACATTAGAAGCTCCTCAGAACAGGGATTGTGCCTTACTGAGTATGTACGGTGTGTCGCACGTTTGGGATCCCAAGTTTCGCTGAGGTCTTTTGGATCTACTATAATCCAAATATTAGAAGGGTCTTCTGGTCACTTCATAGATGGCTGCATTGCAGTAATGAGAGAAGCAATTCCTGCATACAGTTCATTAAAGGAGCTGGGAACTTTTGGAATAAAATATACACTCCATAGACATACATTAGGTTTCAGATATTTAATTATATATATATATTCACATACCAAATATGTGTGTGTGTATGTAACTAGATATGGATACTGTAGTTAGATTTTGCTGATGGGGAGGTTGTTATTTATGGTAGGTTGATTATAGGGTCCCATTATATTTTGAGAGCTGTGGTTGACTTCCTGGGAGTATGGACAGGTTTTGTTATAGATAGTTATCCTTTAGTTTATATGTTTTTATTGTATGTGCAAGCTCATAGAGCCCTGGTCAGGTGATTTAAAATTCAGTTGAAGAATCAATAATATCCATCTATTGAGATACATGAATTTGGGACTGGGATTATGATGGCAAAGAATGGCTAACCAGTTAGAAAATATAATCTAGTACCAGTTCCCATGACTTCCTGCTGGGACTGAACTTTCTGGGAAATCAATGGTCCTGCCAAGACTATTCCAGCCCTAAACACTTTTTGTTTTCTGTGGATTTGTACAGACCTCCTCTTGCGCTTAACCCTGTGAAAATTCAAGAACCCCTGAAAACAAGCTGGATTCGAATATACGGCTAAAAAGTGGAGAATGTTGCTTCTTCCTGTTTCCTGTAGTAGCAAAAAAGGAATTTGTTGAATGCCTGGAACAGTTGGCCTGGGTTCTAAGATGTACTATGGTTGAACTCTGTAGCCATTATGTACCACTTTGAATTATTTAGTTTTTTGACAATTTCAATATGTTTCTGTTGTATTCTTGGGATTGCCTAGCATCCTTCGGGTGGCTGAAAATTCCTGTTAAGCTTAAGGCTAAAGACTCTAGGGAGCCTGGTGGAAAAAGAAAAGGTGATTTGGCTTCCTTAAAACAAAGTTTTTGTAATGTGCAGTTCTTTTCTCTAAAGTCAGCTTTGTAAAAGTGGCAGGGGCTTCATGCTGCTCGTTTTACAGTGATTTCCACATCAGTTTAATGTACAAGAACAGAAAAAAGGTGTTTCTTCTAACTTCCCTCTATGCAAATTCAGTCTGGGATCTGATGTTCAAGCTGGGTTCTTTCTTGCTAGCGCATCTTCACCAGGAATAAATATGTTCTGGGCTGCATGTTGCCCCCCAGTGACACAAGTGCAATTTCATTGCTTTCATATCCTTCCCTCAGTGACAGAAAGCAATCTGTCATATTGTTCATCTTCATATTGTTCCCTCGGTGGCACCTGTGAAACTATGGATATGTCCACACTGCAATTAAAAACCTGGGCTGGCTCATGACAGCTAATTTGGGCTTACGGAGCTCAGGCTTGCGGGACTGAGGCTTGCGGGGCTGTTTAATTGTGGTGTAGACGTTGGGGCTTGCGCTGGAGCCCGGGCTCTAGGACCCTGCGAGCTGGGAGGGGCAACCTGTGCAACACAGTTAAACCAACCTAACCCCTGGTATAGATGGTGTTAAGTCAATGGGAGAATTCTCCCATCGATGTAGCTACTGCGTCTCGGGGAGGTGGTGTACCTATGCCAATGAGAGAAGCCCTCCTGTCAGCGTAGGTAACATCTTCACTGAAGTGCTACAGCGGCACAGCTGCGCTCCTACAACATTTTAAGGGTAGACCTGCCCTAAGTGTTTTGACCAGGGTAATTTTCTTAAATGACAGGGTTGTTTCTAACTATTCTATTGGGAAATTATATCACAATTTAGTACATCCTATTGTTAGAAAGTTTTCCATTATGTATTCAGTCTGAAATTTCCTTTCTTTTCTTTCCATACTTTGCTAGAATAAGATAGTTGCAAAGCATATTGTTTAATGGATTGTTTCATTGGGAGTTTTAGGGGAAATATTAAGACTAAGAGCTTCTAGACATTCTCCTCTCTCACCATCATTAATACCATTAAGCAGATTCATAAAACAGCTCTTTTGAGATCTTATGCCAAGTTCATTTGTTTTCTTTATTTCAAGAAGTTTTATAAGAGATATCCTAAGGACATTCACCATTTAATTTTGTTCAATTACACAAATATTGTGCTGTGATTTTATTTGTATGGTTAGATTATTCCTCCGATATGTTGTTTATCTTTATTGCATTTTAAAAATAGTTGAAAAATAAAATAGGAAAGAAAATGGCTTGCTGTTTAAATGATCAAGATAAATTAACTTTGTACAACCGTGTATTGGTTTATGAGCCCTGTGGAAGAACCTAGCCTTAATTGTGCCTTGTTAAAATTGGCTATTTAAATATTAAAGCCTTATAACTGGTTCTCCGTATAGAATCATGTTCCTATTTGATTAATCTCCTATTTTCTGATGACCTGGCTTTTTTATGCTCTTGTCATATAAATAGTTTATACAGCGGGCCTGATTCTCCACTCAGTATGTCAGTGTGAATCAGGGAAAGCTGCGCTGCAGACAATGCAAATGTTACTGTTGTAAAACTGATGTAAGCAAAAGGAGAATCAGGCTCCTTGGTATTTATTTTATATCCTCTTTTTGGGGGGAAGGAGGGAGAGAAAAATATCTGAGCGCTGTTTTTCACATACAACTCCTCAAACCTGCATTTTCACATCTATGTCTGATAAACCGACATGGCATCTCTCAGCATACTTATTTAGTGGCACCTTCCCCCAGCTTTTTCAGGCATCTGCAGTGAGCACAGTTTATGCTTCAGTTCAAGGAATCAGGACAGCTGATGCAGAACACGGTGGCAAAAACAGCAGCAGCAATGGGGCCCTGGGTGTGCTAGACATGTCAAGAGGCTCAATGGATTGTGTGCATTTTTAGCTGAGCCATTAAGCAGGAATAACAAATAATGATTTTTCCTCTTCCTCTCCAAAATGGTAAAGGTGGGAGAAAGGGCCATTAAAACAAAGGGAGAGAGGAAAACCAAGGGGTGATCATACATAATACTGAAAGGTATAAATATCATGGAGGGAGAACAATGTTAAAGTATTCCAAGGTATAATGGGATGGAACTGAGCTTAGGGTAATTACAGGCTGAATGTTCCCAGTAATGAAGTCTGTAAGAGTGGGAAAAAGTGGTGGGAACCCCCCTTTTTTGTGATATTTAGAACTAGCTTGGACAAAGCACAAGTCTACTAGCTAATGTGCAAAATGACCTATTAGGTCTACTCTTTTCTATCTCCAGTTTTTATGTTTCTGTGAACCACTTTAGGACCATAGGAAGCAGATCAGATTAGTGGTCCCTCTTCTCAAGTTTCCTGTCATCTGCACAACAGTGCCAAGTACCAGATGCTTCAGAAGAAGGTGTAAAATCCATGTAATTGTCAATCATGGAATAAATTACTTGCTGGGGGAAGTTTCTTCCTGATCACAAGCAGCTGATAGTGGCTATTTTATGCCCCAAAGCCTGAGGGTTATATCAAGTGTACATTTTTATCGTAGCTAGCCTTTATCTATTCTATTAATTTAGCCAAAAATTTAAGTATTTACAGCAAATAAAGTTCTAAGAATTAGATCATATTTTGCAAATTAACCCTTTCATTTCTGTGCTGAAAGAAAACTACAGTGTTTCAAATGGTTAAGACTACGCTTGGAAAGATTAGATTTTTATTGGTCAGTAAAGGTTAATTTCACCATACACACACAAATCAATGAAAAAATATTTCCATCAATGATCATCAAAATTTACAGATAGACAGAGTAAGAAAAATGCTGCTTGAGAACTTATTAGAGTTTGATTTAAGGATAGTTACTTTACATATATATATTTTACATATGATGTTGGCAATTGGTGTTTTAATGCTTATAAAGCTTTAATTTTTTGAATCTCAGCATCTAATGTCATTACATAATTACTGTCTGCCTCCCCACATTGTCTGAGATCCTCATAATTTCCAGTAACCTCAGTGATTTAAACTGAAAAAATCTTCAGAAATGTATAAACATAAACATCAATATAATCTCTCAAATTTATGAAAAATAAATATTGAATTCTGCCAAGCCTCATTAAGATTCAATATATACTTCCTGGCATAGGCTTCAGTCCACCTAGAATTAAATGCATCTCTTCTTTTTCATGTAGGACCTGATACGAAGAGATATACTGTATTACAAAGGTCGCATTGACATGGATAAATATGAAGTGGTGGATATAGAAGACGGGAGAGATGATGACTTCAACGTCAGCATGAAGAATGCCTTCAAACTTCATAACAAGGAAACCGAGGAAATTCACTTATTCTTTGCCAAGAAGCTGGAGGAGAAACTGCGATGGCTCAGAGCTTTCAGAGAAGAAAGAAAGATGGTTCAAGAAGATGAAAAGATAGGTAAGGGATCAAAAATCAGTGGGAGGGTGGTTGCTGGGTTTTGCCCCCTGTGGGGGAGAAGGCCAAATTACTGTGCTTTAGAATTATAGTTTAACTTCATTATAACATCCCTGGCTTATCTCACAGTTGCTGTGAAGATTTGCTCATTTAGGAGCAAATGCTGCCCTTGGCTTCAAGCTTCAGCAGAAGAAAACTCCACAAGGTGATGCAGGAGAGAGAAATCTACAGTCCCCCAGCCACTGAGAGGCAGCAAAGCCTCACGGCTGCAGTAGTTTCTGCCCTACCTATGCACCACCACTGTAGGGAGAAAGGCAGACAGACTCACTGCTCTACCAGCCTTGCCCTTCTCTCTGTATTACCACAAAAGGTTATTGTAACCAAGATTGGCATCTGGCTTATTGTCTTTTGCTCATTCATAAAGTACTGTGTTCATTTATGGCACTGTATAAATAATGCTAAAAATAATAATGTTTATAAGGTTGCTTTTTAGGCAGCCTCCTCCCAACTGATGTTACAGTGAGGCTTTACTTTAAAAGAAGATTTGTTTTTTATTAAAATGTCTCTCTGTATGGGTAGCCCCACCAGGCAATGCTTTGCCATCTATGGGTTATTAGTTTCATAAATGGTGCATGAAGAAATACTCAGAAAAAGAGGGTTGGAAAACGATTTTCTGAATTCTTTGCCATATTCCCTTTTTCCAGGCTTTGAAATTTCTGAAAATCAAAAGCGGCAAGCGGCAATGACAGTAAGGAAAGTCAGTAAGCAAAAAGGTAATTGGCAGCATGTCTCTCGTTAGGTGAAGCCAGGGTGGGGTGGGGCTTTATGCTGGACTGCAGTCCACGTTCCCTTTGATTTTTCACCAGTCTCTTTTTTTATCTCGTTTGTGTGTTTCATATAATTTGTTGATGTATCCATGGGCCAAATTCATTTCTGGTGTAACTCTGTTGAAGCCAGTGGAATTACAGCAGAGGTGATTTTGATCTCCTCTGTCCAGTCTAGTATCCAAAAGCAATCCTGTGGGCAGGAATTTATCTCAAACCATAGACAGTATGTAGATTCATCTCACCCCGGACTGAAACTAAAGCCGGTGAGAAGATACAAAGAGGCTTTGCTAATTCCCAGAGTCTCCCATTGGAAAAGAAAGGGAGATGGCTAAAACCCAGGATGTGTTGAGGTCCCACCACTCTACTTCTTTTTGAAATGAGAGGCTCATGGAACTTGCATATAACCTTTTAAGGATAGCACAGTTGCATCAGCACTAGCAAACATAGCATCCTAGTAAAGACACTATATATCAAATTGTCCTAGAAGATCATATTCATCCCCCTGCCTGGGAAGAGTACAGTCAACCAATAAGAGTCATGTCAGATATTAGACTGAGAAGTCACTGGCCAGAGTTAATGATCAGTTCTGATCATTCTTGCAGCTGCAGGTTTTGTAATGATCAATGTTGGGGAGAGTTAGAGAGGAGTCATAGTAACAATGTTTGAAGTCATGGAGTCTTCAGAAAAAATATGAGAAGTCATGAACATGCCATCTAGTTACCAAAATATCATGGCACGTTCAGGTCTCCAAATGGTTAAATGTTTTGGGAACAACTCAGGACTTCTTGGGTACCTGCAGTCACCAGCTGCCGCCTCCCTGTTCTATAGCTTTTACAGCCCTATGCTTGACTTTTCAAACAAACAATGTCTTAAACCTTTAACGAGTTCCTAGCTCTCTTCCTCACCTGGTTGTTCCATACTGTCCTGATGGTTCATTAGTGCTTAGTTAGGCCCAGTGTGAATCCATTGGTCTCCTATGTCCCTGCACTGTTGTTGTTGATCTACCGCCATCTACTAGCCTCTAGTGTTATCCTCTGAGTTGTTCTCTAAAAACTCTCATGGCCAGATTTTCAAAACTGGAAATGTGCAAAAAATGCATTTGGGTGCCAAATGTACGTACTGCATCACTGCAACTGTGCACAGGAACTGCACATTCAATAGACCAGTTTTTCATGTAACTGGCCACTTGTATGGGCACAATTCTGAAAATTTTCCCCTTCACTATCCTCTTGCGCACTGACTCCCGGAGCATGCAAACAATTCACTGAAATCACGCTCGCTGGAAAATCGCAGAATCTGTGACTCAAATGACAGCCCCGGCAAATCAAGTTCTCATTAGTGCTAATGAAACTGACTCAGCTCAAGTGTGCCTGAGAGTGCATATGAATATTTCCAATTGAACTGCTGTAGTTCCATCCTGACAAACTCAGCGTACTTAACTATATTTAGTTTTTACACAGCAATTGCTCTCTTATTCTCTCTCTCTTTCTTTCTCTGTGGGGAAAAAACAAAAGGGGAGGGGAATTTTAATAGCCCAGGCTCCTTAGGCTATACAATTAATTAGCTTCCCTCTTCCTAGAACATCAGTCAGCACCTCCCTTATCCAGAATGACCCTGTGCTCTAATATTGGGAATTCTTTTTATGATATGACGTCCTTGAGTCTGACAGAAACTCATTCTGACTCACACATCAAGTGGAACGATGTCAGATTGTTTTACCTAAGACATTTATTCTGAAATAATAACAAAACCCTTTACATAGCATCATTATATTAGCAACTCTGCCTCTTCCATAATGTCTTGTGCTTCAGTGAGCATAGCCCAGCCCCAAGTTAATTAAGTACTGATAAAGTAAATTTTGTAAAGCCAGAGCCTTGCTAAATACCATCAAAACCAGTTGATTTTATTACCCCATAGAGTGTGGTTTGGCTTATCGAATAATAGTGTGTAGAACTGGAAGGAACTTCAAGAGGTCATCTAGTCCAGTGCCCTGCACTCAAGGCAAGACTATGTAATAACTAAACCATTCCTGACAGGTGTTCAACTTTTTCTTTAAAACATCCAATGATGGAGATTCTACAACTTCCCTAGGCAATTTGGTCCAGTGCTTAACTACCCTGACAGTTAGGAAGTTTTTCCTAATGTCCAACGTGAACTGCCCTTGTTTCAATTTAAGCCCGTAGCTTCTTGTCTTATCCACAGAGGTTAAAGAGAACAACTTTTCTTCCTTGTAACAACCTTTTATGTACTTGAAAACTGTTCATGTCCCTGTCCCCGCCCCAGTCTTCTCTTCTCCAGACTAAACAAGTCCAGTTTTTTCAATCTTCTATCATAGGTCATGTTTTCTAGACCTTTGATCATTTTTGTTGCTCTGCTCTGGACTTTCTCCAATTTGTCTACATCTTCCCTGAAATGTGGTTCTCAGAACTGGACACAATACCCAGTTGAGGCGTTATCAGCTCAGAGTAAAGTAGAAGAATTACTTCTCATGTCTTGCTTCCTTCCCAGAATGATGTTTACTTTTTTTGCAACAGTGTTGTTATACTTTTGATTCATAATTAGCTTGTGATTCCACTATAACCCTGAGATCCCTTTCTGCAGTACTTCTTCCTAGACAGTCATTTCCCATTTTGTATGTGTGCAATTTATTGTTCCTAAGTGGAGTACTTGGCATTTGTCCTTAATGAATTTCATCCTATTTACTTCAGACCATTTTCTCCAGTTTGTCCAGATCATTTTGAATTTTAATACTGTCCTCCAGAGCACTTGCAACGCTTCCCAGCTTGGTATTGTCCACAAACTTTATAAGGGTACTCTCTATGCCATTAGCCCTGATGAAGATATTGAACAGAACTGGACCCAGGACTGATCCCTTTGGGACTCCACTTGATATGCCCTTTCATCTTGACTCTGAACCACTGATAACTACTCTCTGGAAACGGTTTTCCAACCAGCTAGTTGTATTTCCCTAGTTTCTTTATGAGAAGGTCATGCGAGACAGTACGAAAAGCATTACTAAAGTCAAGATATACCACATCTACCACTTCCCCCCTTCCCACCACAAGGCTTGTTACCCTGTCAAAGAAAGCTATTAGGTTAATTTGACATGATTTGTTCTTGACAAATCCATACTGACTCTTATTTATCACCTTATCTTCCAGGTGTTTGCAAATCGCTTTTGCATAATACCCCAGAGGTTGGCCCTTGTGTGAGTAGTTCTATTGAGCAGCTGGCTTAAGTGGGAATACTTAGCAAGCATTACTCAGCATGAGGAAGGGTAGCAGAACTGGGCTCCAAGTTATTTGCAGTTTCAGGGTGCTTTTGTTGACTTATCTTGTAATAATTTCATACGTATTTGAAATGTATCCCCAACAAGGCTTTACCAAAGGCATTGATAAATACTTGGAGACTGTGTATTGCTAGTACCTAGTTGTAGTTACCTGTGCTAAGAGAAGGGTAACCAGTTCTCATGCTTCAGGATGACTGCAGCGAGGGATCAGGTAGGCCTGCTGCCTTTTCTATGTACACACTGCGGAGCTAGACATATGCATTGCAGAAAGGTTTGGGTTGCCTCTGATACATCAGTTGGGCCTCAGAGCACTTAAGCATGTGCTTAACTTTAAGAATATAAATAGTCCAATTGACATCAATGCTACGTATATGTTCAAAGTAAGCACATGCGTCAACACTTTGCCTGATCAGGCTTAGTAGCCACTGCAGGCCTTGATGGCCCAACCAGCTGATCTGATATGTTAATATCTCTGTGCCCAGGTTTTAGGTCACTGGATGTGTTTTGTAGCCTTATTTTTACCATCTGCTATGTTATATCAGTTGACCTCTTCTGTGGGAAACAGCAATAATTTCCCTATGACAGAATGCATAAGGAAAGGATTGAAGCAGTTAAGGAGATGAAATGGGAAGGGCAATCAAGTGTGTTGGAGACGAACTAGAAAGTTTTCAGTAGTTTTAACAGCAGCGTATTTCATGAACTGTCATACAGTGTTTCCCTGAAGTATTACTCTGGAGTCAGCCCGCATATTTATTAAGAGGAAACATTTAAAGGACCACTAGCTGCAATACACTGGAGAGAGAAAGTGTGGAAGATGAGACTGACAAGGAAGAAACATCCAAACTCTGTCAGATAAACTTGATGAAACTTTAATCAGATGATTAAGAGACAGCATAAACCTTTGCATTTGGGGTTTGTTTTGGTTTTTTTTAAACCAGTGTCCTAAATGAATCATCCCATTTGGAACCAGCTTGCTGTTAACACATACATGCACACACAGACATACACACGTATGCACCTACAGGCATATATACACATGCACAACCAAGATTCCTTCAGAATTGGTTTGATGTTGAGCAAGTGAGTAAACTTCAGATTTCAGCAACATACTGGGATTTGCACTACTTATTGGATTGGGGGGAAATGTAATAATATCAGAGCATGTGCCTTAAGACAGCATTAAACCAATTCTCCACCTTCTTTAAGTCCATTAGACATAAAGTGGATAAGTAGCATTGGCTTGTGCTCCTTCCCAGCAGACAAAGTTGTGGGATATTTTTTACAGACAGTGATTCAGATCCTTCTTCCAGTAAGAGCCATCCAGCTCCATGCAACTTCAGTGGGTGTAACTGAGAGTAGAATTTAGTCTAGTATATCCTAGAATAATTAAAATGGGAGATAGAAATTCTGGTTTGGCTTGATTTTTAAAAAGAGCCTGTCACAGTTACTAGGCTATCTGCACCGCTGTCCCTTCTTGGGGATTTTGAGTGCAGCCCCAGCAGTTGTCAAGTCATGGACCCCCACCTCTCCTGGGGTGGAACTCTGCAGTTCGCCACTCTCAGATTAGCACCTGGATTTACAGTCCCCTAGGTGCCAGCCATGACTAACTCAGCAGGTCCAATGGGGGCCAGATCCTGCAGAGGTTTCTCTTTGGGAG